TGACACGCTCCAAGACTTAAGAAGCCATGAGCTACAATAATAACTGGAACTAAGGAGGCTACAAAACTAGGTAAAATCTACGGAGGATGGTATTATTGAGTTTGGGGGCAAATTTTAAATTTTATGGATGTTTGTGCATTGCGAGAGCAAAGACACAGAATTATTTTTGGAGATTCACCAAGGTAATTTTACATTACTGTGGTTTGCCTGCGCACAAGATAAGTGATTGGAGACTGCCTAGGAAATTCCTGCACAATCACCACGCGCGGCCCTCATCTGGCTGTCGTGGACACATGTGCCCTCAGCTGTCTACATTACAGTCCCAGTGTCCTCAGCCGCTCAATGGGACCCTGTTAGAAACGCGTGCTCTGACTTGGGGACTCCCTGGCATGGTCCGCAAGCTGCAGAACTGGCATGTTCAGTTTCTGTCCCCAGAGAGTCTGCGTAAGTTGGCATCCATAGCACTGATGAGCATCTGTATTGGTGGCTGGGTGTCACTCCACCTTGGCAGAGATGTGGGGGGCGCATCCCAAAGGGGACCACCCTCCCCATGCTTTCTTTCATATCACCTGCTTGATTTGGGGAGAGCATGTATCACCAAATTTGTTTGATTCCTCTGTTTGCTTAGTTGTTTATTGTCTGCTGCCTCCATCAGAATTAAACCTTTGAGAACAGGAGTCCTCACTGTTGATGAGTGTGGTGGCCCCAGCCTAGAACACCACCTGGCGAGGTAGCACCACCAGGTAGCAGTGGGGTGCTTGTGGGAGTCAGTTTCATCAAAGGCAGCAGAGGCTCATGGGAAAGGGAAAAGGGCTGTGCATTTGGAGAACAAAAGGGGTGTGCATGTGTGTGTGTGTGTGTATGTGTGTGTGTACGTGTGTGGGCATGTGGGCAAGTGTGTGCGTGTGTGCGTGCGTGTGTGTGCGCGTGCGTGTGTGTGTGTGTGTGTACGTGTGCATGTGTGTGTATGTGTGCATGTGCGTGCGTGTATGTGTGCGTGTGTGTGCGTACGTGTGTGGGCATGCAGGCGAGTGTGTGCATATGTGCATGTCCTAACATGTGCACATGCAGGAGTGTGTCCGAAACCAGGAGACTCTATCATCCCTGAATAGGACCGTGGGGAGTGAAGAAACTCCCTCTCTGACTATTCCACGTTGCCAGGAGGACAGGCGAGCCAGAATCTGTCCAGGCTTAGAGGGCTGACGCGCCTCATGAGATTGTAAAGAGAAAGTGTTGGGCTATTTCGTCCCTGGGTCCCACTTCAGGTGAGTGTGCCCTGAGGAAGGTCTCTGCCCCGGCAGCCCCTACACCCAGCCTTTCCCGGCTGGCCCTGCTTGTGCCTCGGCGCGGGTAGCTGAACCCAGAAGACTCCGCGGGGCTGTCTTGCCAGGCTCATTGGCACAGCCGCCCGCCTCGCAGCTGTAGCCGCTTTGGCGCAGTCACTAGGAGAAAACACTTTCTCAACCCAGAGATGTGCTAATAGAAATTGCTTTTCAAAAAACCAGAAAGCACCAAACACATTTATTTCCAAAATGTAAGAATTCCTAACTTAGGCAATGATTTGTCTCATTCCCTTTATATACATTTTTCAACTTTATGTAGATGAAAGTATAAATGAATAGGACAGATCTGAATATATTCAGTGCAGCTTCTATTAACAAAGGGGTCAGATTTAAATGACAAGAAAATGGATATTCATTTGCTACAAAGTACTTTATTTAAAGGAAAAAACCATTGATTAGACTTTCCTTAAATGAAGAGCAATCTTTCGCTTCTCAGTGGGAAGTTACCTGATTTAAAATGCGACCCCACAGCACTCAAACCCCACTCCACTTTGGTGAACTCTGTGGCAGCAACACAGTGGCATCTAGTGGCCGGAAGAATCACCTGCATTTTCCAAAGTGCTGTGTTCTCTAGAATATTCTTTCTGCCGCATGCATGCACTGCAGCTTTCACTTTAATATCCAATAAGTGATCATGAAAACTCAGGCAGATCAACACAATCATCTTTTTTCCTCACAGTGATACAATGTTGATGTTAATTCTCAGGAGTGAAATGACTATTGGTTTCTGCTGAGTCATTCAGACCTACACCTCTTTAGCCATGCGAGGTTTGCCCTTTGCTGATAATGCTGAAACTGGCGGAAAAGTCCAGACAGCTTCCCGGTGTCTGGCGTTTCCCACCCTCTCCCCCACCCCAACCACATTTCTGAAGGAAGGAGGAAGTGAGTGGGGACACACTGCTGAGTCTCGGTCCCTTTGGTTATGGGGAAAGCATTGGTGACTTCATCTAACACTGTCCTTGTCACATTAACAATTTGGGCGCAGTGCAAGTGGGCATCTCTTTTAAGAAGCATTTTGTCCCGCTAGAGAGACAAGGCAGATTGTAAAACACCTGTTCATTTAAAAATCCCTCCAAAGAGAGACTTTTGTTATCCAAAGAAAACAAAAACACTAATTTGAAAAAAAAAACTCTGTACACCCATGTTCATCCAAGTATTACTAGTAATACCCAAGATATGGAGGCAATCTACATGCCCATGAATAGACAAACAGATAAATAGGAGGCAGTACATATGTACAATGGAGTATTACTCAGCCATGAAAAAGAACGAAATCTTACCATTTCTGACAAAATGAATGGACCGAGAGGGTATCATGCTAAGTGAGGTAAGCCAGACAGAGAGAGACAAATCCCACATGATCTTGGGCCGGCCAAGTGGCGCGATGGTTAAGAACTGGCTTGGGACACCAGAGGGCCCCGGTTCAGATCCCACATATGAGGGCCAGTGACACTGCCCTCCACAGCTAAGATGCTGAACAACAGCTCAACCTGGAGCT